ATAATTTATGTAATATTGTAGATAACTTATATTTCTTTTCTACCATAATCAATATGATATATTAACAAAAACTAGCGGTTCTTTTTTAGGAAGAAAAAACGTCGATTAATTGTGGATATCAAATATGATTTTGATGAAAATTGTAAAAAATTATTAAATAAACTACTTCAATAAAATGAATAGTTTAATTAAAAAAACTAAATCGCACTTATTTTAAATGTTGTAAAAATAATAAATAAATAAATAACCACACTTAAATCACGAAAATTATAAATAAAAAAATATGAATTAAATACCTTAATTAAATTTATTAAATAACCTTGTATAAATAAATGAATATCCACATATAATTTGTATATAACAAACGACATATATGTCTTTTTGGATGATTTTTAAAAAAGTTTTATTTAATGAAGTGAATGACCGATAATTATTCTCTTATTCTTTTAAATATGTATCATTCTCGTTTGATCATCCTTCTCTCTCTCTCTCTCTCTCTCTCTCTCTCTCTATATATATATATATATATATGTATATATTTGTGATCATGTGAGACCAAAGATTTTTCATGAGACCCGTAAGAACAATTCTTAACATTTGGATTAGATCTACAATTTGAACATTCATAATTACAAAATTGCCACGAGACTTTTCAATAATCACAAAATTGTCACCGTGCAACTTTAGACCATTAGATCATTAGCTTATAAAATTGATCAATAAACATAAATTGGTCTCACGGGTCTCACGAAAAACTCTTGGTCTCACGTGAACCCAACCTCTCTCTCTCTCTCTATATATATATATATATATATACATATATATCAAGGGTTGGGTTCACGTGAGACCAATGGTTTTTCGTGAGACCCGTGAGACCAATTTATATTCATTGATCAACTTTATAAGCTAATAATCTAATTGTCTAAAGTTGCACGGTGGCAATTTTGTAATTATTGAGAAATCTCGTGGCAATTTTGTGATTAAGAATGTTGAGATTGTAGATCTAATCCAATGGTTGGGAATTGGTCTTACGGGTTTCACGAAAAAAGCTTGGTCTCATATGATTCCAAGTCTATATATCAAATAAGAAATAAAAAAATGGTGATAATAAACGATTCTTGTTGAAAAAAAAAAGAAAATATGAATTTACATATATATCTTTATCTATAAATAATTGGTTAAAAAAAGGAGAGAGATAAACAATCATGTATTCACATATACATCTTTAAATCGAATAATTTATTTATATATTTTTAGTATTTTTTTTATTTAAACCTTCTTATTAATTAATTAAAGATACTCAAATGGGTTTCTGTGTATTTATATTTAATGAATCAGAATAATATGTAATAAGTGACACATGAAACCATGTTCTATATTACGGGAGAATCAAAAGATTGAATATATTAACACCTACCATCAAATATAAAGTAACACAAAGTCTTCGTACTAAAAACTCATCTCACCAAAAACCGTTCAAGAGTTTGTGCATCTTATGATCTCAAGATGACAACCGACATCCCGACATCAAACCGCGCCGGGCTCCCACCTCCGAGTGTCGGAAATCTCATAACCATCCTCAGTATTGACGGTGGAGGCATCAGAGGTATCATTCCCGGTGTTATTCTCAAGTATCTCGAGTCAGAGCTTCAGGTACGACTCCCACACACATACATGTAATCGAAGGTAATATAACATTGTTTTTTTAATATAACAAAAAGGAGCTATCGAAGTCCTTGCGGCCATGAAGGTTCACCTGCGATAACTCCAGGCCATTCGTTGTCCCGTGGGGATTAGTCGGTACGCGCAAACTGGCTCGGAACCCCACTGTCCCCCCCCCCCCCCAAAAAAAAGGTTTATAGGACACCAACAATTTTTAGACGTCTCAAATAAACCACTTTAGATCAAACAATCAAACATATTGTAATAAGTTTATAGGACGTTTTAATAAATTTTTAGGACATTTTTTATTACAAAAGGTAGTATTACTTATTTTATAAGACACTTTTCATAAGTGTCATATCAACACATATTTCTATAGAACACTTCCTTTTACAAGACATTTTTTCAAATAGTGTCATATAAAATAGCTAATACAACATTTTTTTTAAATGTACTAAAAACCTTGTCACGGCGTCAAAAACATCATATAAATTTATCACAACCCAATTTTGTTGTCGTATTTCTTTTAAGTGTATAATATTTATATATGGCAAAATAAACACACGCTTACTTCTCATCTTTGTTGAGACTTGAACCCTTGACCCTCACAAAGGTGAAGCTACTTATTACTGCCGGTCCAATGACCTTTTGGTAATATAAGACCGTTTTGTGGTTGCTAACTTGTCCGACAATATATATACGCAGTTGTTAGATGACAACCAAGCACGACTAGCGGATTACTTTGACGTCATTGCCGGAACAAGCACCGGAGGTCTAGTGACAGTCATGCTAACAGCTCCGGACCAAAACAATAGACCTTTGTATGCCGCTGAAGACATCGTTCCATTTTATCTCGACAATTGTCCCAAGATCTTCCCACAAATTGGGTAAAGATGATATTCGAATTAGCTTCGTTTCCTTTCTTAAAAAACGACACGAGAATTCCAGTATATTATACTTGCATCTAATCGAACTGTTTGTTTTCAATGGTGCAAATTTAGAGGACCATTTGCGGATATTATAAAGAAATCGAAGGCACTAGTGGGACCACAATACGACGGGGAGTATCTCAAAGATCTCGTTACGAGCTTACTAGGAACAACGAGGTTAAATCAGACATTGACTAACGTTGTCATCCCGACTTTTGACATAAAAACTATGCAGCCCGTGATCTTTAGCTCGTTTCAGGTGTGCATTAATTTATTGGTACATTTTTTCGTTACATCAGTTAAAAACGACCATTAGTTACTACTCATTACGCAGAAAAAATAATTAATAATGGTGGTTTGAAGGTACCGAGAGCGCCGAGCAAGGATGCGCTATTATCAGACATCTGCCTTGGTACATCGGCGGCACCTACGTACCTTCCTGCCCATTATTTTCAGAACGGTGATCAAGAATTTAACCTTATTGATGGCGGAATCGCGGCCAGTAACCCGGTAATTAACAAATTATAAGTATTGTGCATGACACTAAGAGCCCGTTTGACGTGCAGGATTTTTAAGACGTATTTTTGTATAAGACGCACAATTTTGGTCCTACAAACTAAAAGCTCTCAATACGTAATCTATTAGTGCCCTAATAGGTCTTGTAATACATGAAGTGTGCAACCTTTGGTGTCTCGATTTGCAGTCTTTTGTTGCGATATCCGAAGTGGCAAGGCAAGTTACGAAAGCGGATCCAAATTTCTCTGAAATCGCGCCTCTGGATTACGGGCGATATCTAGTGATATCGCTCGGGACGGGCACGCAGAAGGAACAACCACGATATGATGCAGAAATGGCTGCAAAATGGGGAGTGCTCGGGTGGTTGGTCAATGCTGGTTCGTCCCCGTTGATAGAAGCTTTCAATCAAGCGAGTGCCGATTTGGTTGTTTTTCATAACAATGTTGTATTTGAAGCCCTCAATTCGGTCGATAATTATATCCGCATTCAGGTATGGTCACTCATCTCGAACTTGCATTGATGGATTGTATATCGACATATCTCAAAGATGCATTGATTGGTTATACTCTACAACTTGACAATGCATACCACACACACCCCTCATTTTGTTCTATAAACGTGTGTTTAATACGTAGACTAAACATAGCTGGACTAAACTGGACTGTACTGTACTGATTGTAAAGCTGTGGTAGAGTATTAATCGTTGATGTTTATGTACACTCCTGTGTAGGACGAAACATTGACAGGAGATATGGCTTCAGTGGACATAGCAACAACGGAAAATTTAAACAACTTGGTTGCCGTTGGTGAAGGTTTATTAGATAAACCGGTTACCAGGGTGAATACTGATACCGGAACTATTGAACCGGTCCTAAACGGTGGAACAAACCGTGAAGCATTAAAAAGGTACAACTATCAAATTACATTTATTATCCTCTTTAATAAAACTAGGGATGACAATTTTGTACCAACCGTATCAATTAAATTGGTACCACAGTTGGTTGGTAGTATCGTACCAAGTATGCAAACTTGGTTGGTACACGGTACTGAAAGTCGTATACCATGGTACTGAATTATTAAATTATTTATTAATTTTTGTATTTTTTTAATATATTAAATATTGTAACTTTAACTATTTTGTTTGAGCATTTCCATATTTGCAAGTTTTATTCCTTTGAACTAAAAACTGTTAAACAATATATATGCTACCCGGAAGCTCAAAATGTCACTCAAATTTTATAAAATGACAAGTTTTATATATGTAACTTGAAGTTGGTATAAAACCAGTACCAACATGTATCAACCTAAAAAGTTGGTATCAAATACAGTTGGTTGGTACACAATATAAAATTTTGTATACCAATTACAGTCGGTTAGTACACGATTTTGAAGAAAAAAACTTGATATCATACCAAATTTCTACCCTAATGAAAATTAATGGGTCGTTTACCAAACACTTATCTGGTAAGTAAGTGCTTATCAGTAAAATCTAACACTATTATTTACTTACTAGATAAGATTTTAATCCACCAAAACAACATCGTATGCAACAATTTACCCGGTAAGCGTTTACCATGTCAAGAGTCGTTGCCCTCACTTACTGGGGAAGACTCTTGGTCCTTAGTTTGCTCTTACCGGGTAAGATTCTTGGTCCTTATCACATTTATCAGGTGAGATAACGTGACTTGATAAGTGCTTACCTGAATAAGCATTTGGTAAACAGCTCGTAAGTTTAATAAAATACAAGTTATTAATGCATGTGTTTTTCTAAATACAGGTTTGCGAAACAACTGTCGGATGAACGGAAACTAAGGACGTTGAATCTTACGAATTAATGGGAGAGTGATTTGGGTGGAGTTTAATTTATGTAATTTTTTGGAATTATTCGAGTTTTAAAATGTTGTAATAATTAAATATTTGATCGTATATTCGTATTATTTGATTTTAATAAAGCAGTCCAAACTTCATTTTCAAATTAATTTAAAATTCAAATCACAATATCTACTTATTTAATTCGTAATAATTTTGTATTATTTGATATTTATTGTTAAATCATAAATGATTTTAGTTTTAAATTATATATGATTTGATTAATTTTTGTTTTTCTTATTTTGACATTGTTCTCTAATAACACTAACATTGTCTGTCTGTTTGTCTGTCTACCTCTCTCTCTCTCTCTCTCTCTCTCTCTCTATATATATATATATGTGTGTGTGTGTGTGTGTGTGTGTGCATATGTGATAATCGTAAGAACTTTTACTTTAAGGAATTGTTTCACGTTATTTCTTCTCATCTAAGACTATCATTTAATGTATTGATGAACATTTAAGGGTTGTTTGGTAGTTGCTGAATAGTTTGGTATAAAATGATCAAGTGGTTAAAATGATTAAAAGACTATCATGATTTAGTGCAAAATGAAATATAATTGTTTGATAATTGTTTACAATAAAATTAGGGTGTTGAATGGTTAAGAGAGGCCCAAGATATAAAATCATTCATAGAATTTTAGAACCATTAAGAGGCAGATTTTTTTTTGCCAAATAAAATTCACGTCTTAAAAATTCATATGTTGACTTTTAATAAAACTATTAAGATGTAGAAAAACAACCTCTTATTTGTTTCATATGTATTTAGTTTACAGTGTGAATTTTTTTACGTGTAATTTTTGTTTCACAAACAGGCTAAAAAGGTTCATATCATGAAACAAATATATGTTAATCAACATTTTAAATTTTAGTCTTACATGAAAAAAGATTATATGAAATTGCATATGATGCACTATTATTCAAGGTTATCAAAATTTCATGCACTATTATATGCTGTGAAGTTTCAAGTGTAAAAAATGGTCTCACAGATCTCACGAAAACATGTTTGTCTGATATGATCGTCTCTCTCTATATTATTTAATCATAAAAACTCAATAAGTGATTGATTAATTTGGTGTTTGTGATATTTAAACAACATGTTTAGACAACACTCATAATTATGGAGTTGACTTTGCATCTATTTGTGACAATTTCAGATGTCATATTTTATTATACTTGAGCATGCACGTTATGTGCATTCCCATATTTTTGGCATAAATTATACGAATAATCATGTAAAAATAGACGTTAAGTTGAAAAACGTAAGAAGAGATTTGAACTCTTGATCATTTTTAATCTCATCCCACCCAAACTAAACTTTAAATTTTAAGAAATGTATATTTGTGCAAACCCGATACGATCAATAACAGTTCAACTTCTACTTATGGGCCGTTTACTAAACGCTTACTTGATAAGTGCTTACCAAATAAATTTCCTTATCGGATGAACATGACAAGGGTCAAAAATCTTATCGGGTAAGAGCGATGAGAAGGATGGAGAATCTTACCTGGTAAGTGAAGATTACGACTCTTACCCGGTAAATTGTTGCATTCAATATGTTTTGATGTACTAAAATCTTACTCATCAAAATAAATTATAGCATTGACTCTTGTAGGTAAGCACTTACTGAGTAAACATTTGGGTAAACAACCCCTTAGTCTACTTTAAATGTTACGAAATGTATACTTGTACTCAATCAAGATGTTCAATAAGTTTAATCTCACCAAAGGGCTTTTTGGCCTAGCGGCATCGTAGCATTTGGCCTTCTCAGGGGTTCAAGCCTCACCATAGGTGAAGAGGGTGTGTGAGTTTATTTGTTGCATTGACGTATATAAATATTATATAATTCAAAAAAAAGTTTAATCTCTACTTGATATACTTCGAATTTCAAGAAACTATGTATAAGTTCGTTGTATTCAACGAGTTCATAAGCAAACAACAAAATCAAACTTGTTCATAAGAGCAAAATCGATTTTAAAAACAAAATCGATTTCGAAGCAGGTGAGGAGAATTATATTCGGGAGGGAGAGATCGAGAATCCTAACGAGATCGAGAGACATGAACCGATATCAATGTTTGAGTTTAAGCAGTCGTGAACGGTGGAGGCGGAGGTTTCTATCGAATATTTTAGTTGCTAACTTTATCTTTTAAACAAAGAAAACATTAACTTTCTCAATCAAGGGAAAGTTCAAACGAGAACGCTAACTATTTAAGAAAACGTGAAAAATGTCGTTAATGTATAAAATCACATGTAATTTACATTAACGTCAAAAAAATTAAAAAAGCCGACTTTTAAACCTATATGATTTTGTACGTGAATATATATATATATATACACACACACACACACACATAGAGAAAGAGATGTGGGCGATCAAATGCAAACCACCCCTATTTGTATAAATCGTGCAGACCACCTTCATCCGTCGATTTCATTGTTTAATCTTATGAAATTGTTTCAAACAATACTCTTTTAATTAAGTTGTTTTGTATCTGATTATGAAATTGTTTCATATAATACTTATGAAATTTTAATGAAACGGTTTTATGTATTTCTCTAAATTTAATATAATGAAAATGTTAATATCCATGATTAACACCATCCACAATAAAACTGATTAATCAACATCTCATAATTAACGAAATGAAAAATTATGATTGGTTGAATGAGGATTTTACGGTTTGTACAAGTAACGTAGTTTGCAAGGTAAACTCTCTCTCTCTCTCTCTCTCTCTATATATATATATATATATATATATATTATGTGTGTGTGTGTCATGTATGATTTTGTATGTGAATCGTATATGATTTTGGTACATTAAGGACCGTTTTCTTGTTTACTTAAATAGTTAGCGTTTTCATTTGAACCTGTCATTTCTCAATTAAGTTCCTAAATCATTTTTCTAATGAAAAAAATAATCAAATTTTCTCATTTCAAATGATTAAGTTACTGAACACTTTTATGTATCTAACTTTAAAAACCATAAATCAGTTTCACCGTTCCCAAACTCTTTGTACACAACATCACCCCCTTTCGCCACTCCTCCTTGTCCCATCATTGTTTGTTCTCTAGACTCTACCGTCTATTGCTGTCGTTGACCTCTGTCATCGATCTCCCTCTTTTTGATCTGTTTTCTTCTTTTGATTATCGTTCTTTTACAACAATTTAACGGATCACATATTAACATATAAATAAAGATAGATAAAAAAAAAGTGAGATCGATGACAGGGAGCCAACAACGGTGATAGAGAGCAAACGACGATGAGGCGACATGGGATTTGAATGATGTAGAGTTGGGAACATAAAACTGTTTTAAGTTTTTAACTTTAAAACATTTGTAGCCGATTGCAAGTAGCTTTTTGGGGTTCAAATAACCTAAGTAACCAAATTTTAGAAGTTCGATGGTTTATTTATTAAAAAAAAGTTTAGGGTTTTAATCATTCAAAATGAAAAAGTTAATGATTTTTTACTTAAAAAAAGTTTAGGGACTAAGGGGCCGCTTACCAAATGGTTACCCAGGTAAGCGTTTACCAAGTCACATTATCTTACTGGATGAATATCAGAATATGATAAAGAATCAAGAATCTTACCCGGTAAGAACGAGACAAGAACCAAGAGTCTTACCTGGTAAGTGAGGGTGATGACTCTTACCACGGTAAGGGCTTACCGGGTAAATTATTGCATACGATGTCGTTTTGATGGACTAAAATCTTATCTGGTAAGTAAATGATAATGTTAAATTTTACCGGTAAGCGGTTACTGAGTAAGTGTTTGGTAAACGACCCCTAAACCATCTAAAATGGAAAAAGTTAGTTGGGTTTTTTTTGGACTTTTCTCTAGTTTATAAGTAAACTCTATCATATTCAATCGGAATCATATGAATCAGACACTAATATGTTCCGTTTGGTTTGCAGAAATGAAATGGATTTGGAGGGATTTGCATTTCAAATCCAATCCAATCCAATCCCATGTTTGGTTTGCAGGATTGTTCGAATTTGAAATCTTATGATTTATTTGAAACCACTCAAACATAAGATTTTGAAATTTCGCAGGGGTGGTTGGAATTTCACGGGATTTTGTAGGATTTCTATATAATAATGTTTTAAAATATGTTTAAAACACCTGTTTTCTAATAATTCATTGATAAAAAGGTAATTTAATTTTTTTTATAATTAGTTTTATAAATTATTTATAAATATGGAATTTAATTCCATTCCAAATCCATCAAACTGAAGACACCAAAAATTCCAAATTCAAATCATTTCACGAAATTTAAATCCCTCAAAACCATTCCATTAAATCAAAAACCATGTATTAAACCACAAGGGTGGTGCCTGATTGGTTTGAGCTTGACTCCAAATGTCAAAAGTATCAGGAGGTCCTAGGTTCAAATCCAAGGAGGAATAAAAATCCTCTTGTAGCCACGGAGGTTCAAATGCGGTGACTCCTGGCTATCTGCAAAGCAGGTGGTCCTCCTAAGATTAATCGGCTCGCATAGCGGGTTGGATATCGAGGTTAATAATAATAAAAAAAAACCATGTATTAAAACTAGGATCATATTGTGCACTTTGTTATAATTGAGGGGGTCAAAATGGTCATATTGCAAACTTTGAGCAAAAGTTAGCAATTAGAAAAAACACAATTCCTTTGGAACTGTGGAAGCAGACTCGAACAGTTCTTGCAGATAAGAGGCGTTGGCGGGAGAGAAGTGGCCTGAATAAACTCTGGAAAATGGTAGGCGCGGCGACGGCGACACTCCGACCACGTATCTTCTCATCGGTTTCGGGAAACTGTTGCTATAACCTATCGGAACAACCTCTTCATCGCATCTTTCGGTATAGCCCAGGTTCGTTCTCCATCTACGAGCTTCATGTGTGTGTTTCAGATGACCGGAGGATCTGATTTTTCTATCATTTTATAATACTTGACAACTGGTGACTTTGTTTTCTGTTGTTTGAACTGTTTACATTGGAATGAAATAAATCCCTAATTTGTTCTGCAAATTAGTTTTTAGGTATACTTCATTCTCATTCTTATTGATGTGCAATTCAACTTTCATGTTAATTTCTGCCAACTTTTGATGAATTCTGTTTTACTTGTTATGCATGTGTCGGTTAAATTTTCATTTGTTAGACAAACCTTTATATGCAATCAGGGAATTACTGTTTATATAGTTCTGATTGATTTCGCAAAAGAAATTGATGAGGTGTTGAATGAAAAAAGTAAGAATAGTACTCGAGGGTGGACCTCCATGGTATTATTTTGTTGGATTCAACCATATATATACATCTTGAAACTACAATAATAACACAAGTTTCTCTTGGCAGAGTTGGTTTGAACGAGCTTTTCTTATCTTCTGGGCATGGGTTTGAATGCTGTTTGTATCATTTTCTTGGTTTTTAGCTTTTAGTTTCAGCTTTATTATATTTATGAATAAATTTGGGATGAAAGACTCGAACACATAACCTTACTTACATACAAAAGCAAGGAACCAAGTCAACTAATCAACATACCAATTATAATTTTGTGAAAAGTGTACATCGTTTCGTTATAGTCCCACAACTTGAAAAAATTCCCAAGTCCACCTCTTGTGATTATAAACCTTTAAAATGGGTGATTAAATCTGAAAGAAAATTACAATTTGATTATCCTAAGTCGAAAGGTTTGAAGAGCATTGAGACAAAGTCATAAGTTTATGATTAAAAGAATTGTCATTGGCCAGAAAATGTGTAATTGCTACTGCATATATATATTCACTCATTTGCCAATTTTCGAGAAGGACATCATTCGTTCTTGAATTTGTTATGAGAATAAATTAATATTTTTGTGATGGATATGCCATACCTTTTAAGCTTGTACGAGGAGTTAGTTGTTTTTGCGAATCTTAGACATGTTTTACCAGTAAAAATTATGCAAATTTGAAACATGATTTTTGGAGTTCTTAAGTTCATCTATGTCCTATTGTTTAAGTCATTTTTTCGATTTAACTCCGTTTTAAATGAAACTGTATTGCAAGTATACTTGTGTTCGTTTTGAAGTATTTGAGTCTAATGATATGGTGAGATTATGGCGATGCTAATATTATTCTTTGTGTCTTTGGACAACTCTTCATGCTAATGCAGGTCAAAAACATATTACAATGCAACATCCAAGATCATTCATAACAAATCTCCTATTCAACAAAAGGTATTATATCCAAGACAGTATGTCATTTTCTTCTCTTTTTTTTTGAAAATGGGTGATATTCGCTCAAACTAATCTCATGGCAAGACGCAACTATAGACTTCACACACAGCTCTGAGGTAAATTTGTCGGTGGCCACAAGTGCATATGTAGATGGCAGGATTCTAAACCATGTTGATTTTTATCATCCCTTTGTCTTTATTCACCATGCTACCCCCTTGTGATTTTGCTCCTTCTTGGGTGTACATACAAGAGAACAAGGGTTTGTATTAGTGACGAATGCAAGATAGATCTAGAGTGACGTCAATCATCTTGGTGGGAAAATAAAGTAAAACTTAGAATCAATGTGTCATACATTTGAATAAAATCATTTTGAGGCTTCATCTTTTAAACATATTGCATGATTTTGTAACCAAAATTGGATTGGTCCTAGAGATAGAAATCAATATATCCATATATAACTACATTGGGAATAAAGTTGTAAACAGTTCTTGCTGCAAGGTGGTAGTGTTTTTGTATCCTAAATAAGTAGTCATTTGTTCAATATCAAAAGCAATTTTTGAACTTGCATTTTTCAATTTGAAAACATAAAACTAGAACTTTTCTATTATCTTTTCGTTCGTACAGTACTTTTCATATCTGAATCATGGTCTATATTAGAAACAACAATGACAAAGTAGAGCACCCATGTGGTACTTCATTATATATATATATATATAAGATCCATCTGTATAGATATCACAATCAACATCCAGGAAGCTGTATGCTTTGAAAGAAGCTTGTACAGTTTGGGAAGGGGTTTTGATAGATAAACAAGCAGAATCTACTTCAACTATTACTAGTATATAATGCTTTGTTAGACAATCAAAATACCGATTAGAGTTTGCTGAGTTTTCTATCTACATAGTTTATTTTATTGGAATCGAAATTTTGAGAGGTTATATCATCTGAAACTACTGTCTTCAATTCCATGCGATAAAGATTAGTTTTTTCTAATTTATTTCACAACTAGCAGAAATATAGATGAATTGGAAAATGGCACACGCAAACCTTTGAGGCCAGGGAAATTGTCTCCTCGCCGTCCTGTTCCAGATCACATACTAAAGCCACCTTATGTTGCTTCTAAGAAGCCACCTGGAATTGCAAGCGGGCCTGAAGTGCATGATGAAAAGGGTATAGAATATATGAGAGCAGCCGGGAGGCTTGCTGCACAGGTTCTTCAGTATGCTGGGACATTAGTCAAGGTGATATTTAGCTTCTTTATTTACCAACACCAATATTTGAATTATGAGGTCAAATTCATGAGTTTTCAATTCCCAAATTGTTATGGAGTTCCTAAAAGTAATTCCTGGAATCTTCAGTTTATCAAGTTCTATTTGGTTTCTGATAATTTCTCAGTAAGTGGCCATTTGGTGATAGCTATGGCCTATTTTGGCTGAATAAGCGAAGATTGCCTGGATATCATGGGCAACATAAACGATATAATGTTACGTCCCTTTCCCCTACATTACACACACATACACATATGTAGTTCGCATATCACTAGGAGGTGAGTAGCTGAGGTTAGACATGTCGAAGGCGTTTTCGAGGACATGACCTTTGAGAGTTCTTGGAGACGCAAGATAAGGGTAGCAGACTAGGGGTGAGAATCTATAGTCAACTTCTTATGTTCTTTCTCCACAATTTTTTTGAGCAAGCTTTACCCATTCTTTTCGCACACTTTGCACAAGTCGGGTGTCTTCAAGGAAACAACCGCTCTTCTATTCGAGGTAGAGGTTAGACCTTGCTTACATTCCACCCCCTCCCAAGACCCACCTTCGAGTGTGGGTTCGTTTGGTTTGGTTTATATCGGATGTTTCAAGAATGATGTGTGCAATGGGTGAGTCTTGACCGAATCTCTAAGTTTCTTTAACCACAAATATAAGAGGGTACAGACTCTGCCGGGGATAGTTATGATAGATTTTAGAAAATTGAAGAGATGGGAATTTATGGTTACAATTCAATAGAAATCAAGGATAAGTATAAAGTAAAATTTAAGTGTTATGCCCATGAGAGATATAAAGGAGATAATATGGGACAACACAAAAGATTCCTTTTCCTCGATCGTTTAGATTATTATCAGCACAATAAGTGAAAGTAAAAAAAGACAAGATTAGCCTCAAGTTTAAGTATTCACTTAATTAAAGATAAGTCTTGTGTTTTTATTGGTTTGGTTTTAAAATTCTATATGTTATACAAATACGTGAATGCACCACCATATACTTGATTATTTAGGGGGCATTTGGTTCGCAAAATGTTTTTCTTTTTGAAGGAATGGTATTTGTCACAGGAATTTGACTTTGAAGGAATTGGAATGGAATTTGATGGTGTGTTTGGTTGGAATGAAATCTATTAAATGGTTTGGAATTTGCCTTGTTTGGTTGGTTGAATATAGCTTCAAAATTGGACTAAATAAACGATGAATGACCAAAATACCCCTTTTATAACAAGAAATAGTCAGATGTGGTTTAAAACGGTGGTGGCCGGCGGTGGTTAAGATCGGTGGTGTCGGCAGTGATATTCGGTGGTGGTTCAGATCAGTGGTGGTTGTCGGTGGTTCAGATCGATGGTGGTTGACAGTGGTTCAAAACAATGGTTCAGATCGGTGGTGTTTGGCGGTGGTTCAGATTGGTGATGGTCGGCGGTGTTTCAGAATGGTAGTGCTTGGCGGTGGTTCAGATGGAGGTCATATGGGTCTGCGTAAATCAAGTAGGGAAGATGGAGATAATTTTGTCTTTTTGAGAAAACAGGATGGAATGGAATTAAATTTCATCTCAATTGTGATGGAATGACCAAATATATGAATGGTGGAATGTGTGGAATTCAATTCCATTCCATAGGTAAGCCAAACGCCTAAACGAGGAATCTGGTCAATGGAATTGATCATTCCAGTTCCTTCAAATTCCGTCGGAATCTTGTGAACCAAACGCCCCCTTAGAATCCTCAAATCCCATGATCCACTTATTCCATGCATGTATTCTTGCAACATATATCTATGTGTGTACCATATGCATCGATGTGTAATTGTACATAGATTTTTCTTCCAAACTCATAGAATTCCTATCAAGTTCGAAGCTTAAAATTAGCCTGTCTAGCAGTAAATTTAAACTGCATCTCTATTTTTGGAATTTACGCACAATATTTTCCAAGAACAAGAAGTTGACCTGATAATTAACCTTCCATCTAAACTTGCTAATGTATTGGCAGCCAGGTATCACAACAGATGCAATTGACCAAGAAGTTCACCAGATGATAATTGACAATGGAGCTTATCCTTCACCTCTTGGGTATAGTGGATTTCCCAAGAGCGTGTGTACTTCAGTAAATGAATGCATTTGCCATGGAATTCCTGATTCACGTGAACTTGAGGTCTGCCTTTTCAAGGACCATTAAATTACATTATTGCATCTCTTTTTTAGCATTTTCATCTATCGTTGATATATGCTTGACTTTACAGGATGGCGATATTATCAACATAGATGTCACTGTTTATCTAAATGTAAGTTATCTTCTACCCTTTCTTTTTGGATTTTGGTTCCCGTAAGACCACCCTGTTTTTGTGAGACCATCCATGAAGGCACAAAAATACATTGAACCTTCACAATAAAAAACATTGTGAAGGTACAAAAACAAGCCTTCACAATGTCTTTTTTGTGATCTCACCGGTCTTGTGAAAACAGGTTGGTTCACATGATCCTACGTCCTTGCTTTTTGGTTATCATTCATTTTTACGAAAGGTCTCTATGTTTCATTAGTATTGAATTTTGATGCATGCATGGTGTCGTTGAACAGGGTTACCATGGTGATACGTCAGCAACATATTTTTGTGGTGATGTTGATGACAAAGCCAAAAATCTTGTGCAGGTAATCTACAAAGATTTCAGTATTTGATTAAAGAGTATAATTTATCATTTGATCTATATATGGCTTTGGAAAGTGAAGCAAACTACTTTCGGACTACACAATGGAAATGAATCTAACGACATATACAGAAATTTAACATAAATACGTGTCAAATCTTAATTTACAAGGTACCACTATTAGTTCGAATGCAAAACTTCTATTTAACAAAATTGTAATAATTACTCCCTATGTACACAGTGAAAAAAGCACACAGTTTTAAAAATGTGTAATTGTTACACCTTTTTAGTTAACTAAATGACAGTTTTATTCATAGTAACATGAATTTATGTGTCTCATAATTAAGGGTAGAACTGGAAAGTAGGCAGTAGGCACTTTTGTAAATGGACAATTATTTTTGGACAAACTAAAATAGAAATGTGCACAGTTATTTTTTGATGGAGGAAGTATTTATTTTTTGTACAGTTTTAACACTACGCGTTTTGTATTTCGTAATACTTTGTACCTTTTCAATGTAATTATTGGTTTTTGCTAAAGATGAAACATGTTCATGTGAAAAAATTGTTTGGAAGTAGCTTGTGCGGCATCACTGTCGAGATAGAACAACTAACAGAGAATATAGAGGATAATATATTTGACTCTCAAGAAAGTCGAACTTGCTTCAAGTCAAAACATTGAGAAATAAGTGTCCTTGTCTACTTTCGAGTTCTATTTTTAATCATAAGATTGAGAAATTCATTACTCCTATTATCGAAGGATTAAATTGTCATTTAGTTAATTAAAAAGGGTATACACATTCCTAAAACCATGTGTTTTTCAATTTGGACATTTATTTTGGGACGGAGGGAGTATTAAGTTAAATCATCTATGGGCAAGTGTTGGAGGAAGTAGTAAGGTTGTTCGTTTGTGGCTAAACAATTGCAAAATACAAGGGGAACACTACTTGCAAAAAACTTCTCTCCCCAAACTTTCCTAAAGCTTTCCCATAGGTCCCCAGTTCGAGACTCCTCAAGGCCACTAGGGTTTTTCCTAGCTGTTTATCTTGAATCCCCATGAGTTCAGTAGAGGAGCCCTCAAACTGGTCTAGACACTCACGGTGACCAAAAAAACTGCTCTTCTTATTAGGATCGTCATCTGAACTTATCAAAACATTATCAGGAAATGTTGAGTTAAGAATCTTTCTCATCTGGTGTTTTTTTCCCTTTCAAATCTCTAGTATTTTAATCCTTTCTAATAGAGTTATATGCTATTTTTATGATTTAGGTAACTAAAGAAAGCTTATACAAGGCGATATCAGTATGTGCACCAGGAGTGGAGTACAACAAAATTGGCAAAATCATAAAGTAAGACAAGTAATTGTGTTGTAGGGTCATTTCAATGCTCTTTTTGGAATTCAATTCCATTGCAATTCTATGTTTGGTTCGAAGAATTCCTGGGATTTCATTGAAATCCCATGGGGTTTGTTGGTATTTTGCGGGATTTCATAGGATTTTTAAAATATGTGTTTTATAATAATCAATTAATAAAAAGGTAATTTAATTATTTTTATAATTATTTATAATTTGTTCTATAAATTATTTTTTGAAAATGGAATTCAATACCATTCCAAATCCTACAAACCAAAAACACACTTAAAGGTTCAAAATCCTTCTAAATCCAAATCACTGCAATTCCAAATCCTTCCACCAAATCCAAATCCATCAAACCAAACGCCCCCTTAAAGTATTTCGAATTACCGCTTTTGGTTCTGAAAGGTCAAATCTAGTATTTTCTAAATCCGAAATTTGGGGAAACTGTCCACAATGGCCATTACGGACTCCCCAATTCATTTTATAGCCACTTATCTACTCAATTGACTGATAGACTTCGCAAGTAGTAGTTTAACAACTCGCAAAATCTACTTTTTATGAATTTAGTATCCATAAAGTAGCACTTTAGATGGACTGAGTAGGCACCAAAATTGGTGGAACAAAAATCAGAGATATGAGACAAGATTAGTAAATTACTAAAATACCCATGTTGATGTTATATTAAAATCCTAAAACCTTGCACAATTCTTTTACCTGTCCTGTCTGCATACCCAACATGTGTTAATATTGAACTTGTATCTCTATATCTCTGGTCATATTCCTTCTCTTTTCTTTCTCGTCCTTTTCTTCTGCAAGTAAAACTACTTATGTACGTATATAACGAGAATCGGAACTAATTTTCTTTTATTTCAGTGCTCATGCAGATAAGCATGGTTATGGTGTTGTGCAACAGTTTGTCGGGCATGGTGTTGGACGCCTTTTCCACAGCGATCCAGTTATTCTACACTACAGTAAATTTTTAGCCTTTTGATTCAACTGTCCGTTGTTTTCTTTGATTTTTTCCGATTATCTTTAAACTTCCCAATTTTTTAGGGAACAATGAACGTGGACGCATGATGTTGAACCAGACATTCACCATCGGTAAGCTACTATTCTTGTTTTTAACCTTGAAGCCTAGACAAATAAATGCCGGGCCTTGGGACTTTTCCCCACAGTTTGAGTCTCCTCAAGGCAGAGATGGACCTAGAAATTTTTTCAAGTGATGGCACCATTTGACTATAAGAAACACAAATATATGGATATTTTTTACAAAATCGTCATTAGTCTACTGGTTAGTTCTTTGCTTTTTATATGTGTGAGGTCCTGTGTTCCGAGTCTTTTATTGCAATTCTGATCTGAAACGTAATAAATCTGAAATTAAAAGGTAAGAACTAAGGAAAATGACACAAACGGGATTTGAATACAGGTCATCTGTGGGAGAAAAGCCATGCAAACCAACTCAACTAATCACCATCGTAGTTTCAAAATATATACGGTTGCACATAACAAAATGATACGATTGCACCTTTCACGACCCTATAATCTTTTACACTATGACGGAGGAACTAAGCGGTGGCCTGTGTCACCATATCTAATAACATAAGGTCTGTATCTGCCCCAAGAGCCAACTCAACTGACAAATAGCCTTGGACGACTCCTTATAGGTTGTCAGTTTGAGTCTTCTTAGGGCACCGAGGATTCTCCTAGCTATTATCTTCAGGGGTCCATGAGATTAGTCGAGGTGCCCCCAAACTGGCTTGGACACTCATGGTTATAAAAAGAATATTGTTTTTTTTTGCAACAACCGTCATGCTTGTATGTAATTCGTAAGAAAGTTGTGAAATTTCTTGGTTCTTTTGGCAGAACCCATGTTGACGATGGGTAGTATACACCCGATAATATGGGATGATGATTGGACCGTGGTGACGGAGGATGGCAGTTTGTCGGCACAGTTCGAGCACACCCTTTTGATCACTGAAAATGGTGCTGAGATTCTAACACAATGTTAGATTTGAGGTTCATGCATTGGTGTGGCTAAAATCAAACACAAGAGCCATTGGAACATTTATTTCTTTGTGGCCCATTTGTATTCTTTTCTCATGTTTTAGAAACACATTTTGTTTGAGGCTTAGAGGCTTTCTCAAAGTGAGCATACTTGTATGAGGTTTTGTTGTTAAATTTTTACTTGTAATACAAGAAATGTGGTTTTCTAGAACCATCGAGGAACCCTGTGGGTGTTCAGGCTGGCTTACGCACACCTCCGACTAATCTTAGGATCCTGGAGAACAGCCAAAAAAATCTCAGTTGCCTTGCAGAACTTGAACTGGTGACCACCGAAGAAAATCCTATAAAGCACAAGTCTTAATTTGCATATATATGCTCACATTTACTCAACATATATACGAAATAAGTTATATAGAGATGGTGTAATTGTCTAATATACATATTAAAATGAACTTAATAATCATATTAAATCTAATAACCGTAACTCAGTTTTTATGGTTTAAAGATTTTACAACTTGATTAGACATCATATTGGATTATTTGGCGTCTGAGTTGGGCTGGATTAAACAAGTTGGTTGGGTTTTTAACCCCGCCACTTCCAAGTGTGTCAATGACTGGTATAATTTTATTCTGCACAGTTCAACGAATGAGGAGATGTTCAAGATATTGAAAATAACATGATATATGAATATGAAAAGTTATGCCTTTTTCTTCTACTTATTAGAAGGATCGTGCGAGTCAAAAGCCAAACCTTTTTATTCGTAACTTTTAAGAAAGAATATAAAATCGTATAACTTTTAAGAATTATATATAATCATGTGATTTACGAAAATGCGAGAACAATCTAATAACCTCAAACTTTTTTAATTAATAAATTAACTTATATTAAATATAAATAAATTAATAAGGGCAGTAATGTAATTAATTAATTTTATAAATTTT